ATTCACGTTACTACCCCCTCTGTGTTTTCATGTGTGTGTGGCAAGGGAGTGGCCACCCATACAGAAGTGCTAGTCTCTAAACAGACAATGTGAGACACAGCTGCGCAGGGAAAGAGGGAGAGCACAGAGGCTGAGTAAACACTACCATTACACTAACTACAGGTAGCATGTCTGCCTGCCATCGTTTCCATCCCTCCTACTCATGTTCTCTCTCCTTCTCCGTCTCTGTTTAATGGGTCATCCTGGGTGCGGGGGGGTGGGACAGCTGAGATATATGGCTAGCAGAGTGTGGAGCTAATCATGGCCGTCTCTGGAGGTGATAAACCCAGACCGGAGAGGTTTGTGTTGGCGCAGCCTGCAACGGCTCCATAAACACAGTTACAAGCTGAATTTTCGACAGCAGTGTTTTGGCCCCTGATTAGTTTTCCATGCCCTAGAAGCCTCACCCTCACGAGCCCGTGCTTCTTATTTTACCCCAGCGCTCAACACGCACCACCAGACCCCTGGAGAATTACCACAAGCCGACGAGTGGCGTATTGTAAAATGAAAGTGTAATGTAACGAAATGAGGTTTTCCCTCAGAACCGGGGAGTCATGCTATATCCACAGACCTGATGGAGCATGTCTTTTTCACACGACCGAGACAAGGCCCCTGCACTGAACCTAACACCATCAAACAAAGAGTAACGTCCTGTGACCTATCAAGTTTTACAGCAGCTTTGTTTACAAGCCGACTCCACGGAGTTAATTGTTAACGCTTTACTGCCGCGAAGACGGCTGAGAGACAGAGAGGAAACCTATAACAGACAAGTGCACTACCACAGATTGAGAAATAGAAAGTAAGGAGCACTGATTATGCTGACCTACAATGAAAGCACTCCTGTAAATACACCACATGAGTAAGGCGTCTGCTCACGGGGATGACTCAAGGAAATCCATCAGGTTGATAATTTACGACACTGGGATTATGGAGATCACAACACTTCAGGTAGGAGGAGTAAATGTAGACGTTTACAACGAATGACACAGCCTCCGTGACGCATCAAGGCGAAACCTGTGACGCATCAGGCCCCCGGTGATGCGTCAGGGCAGGCTCGAACTTGCCTCCCCATGAAATGCAAAAACCATCCCACACTGGCTTCGCTCATAAGATACATTGTCGATTGGCATTAAGTCTGCTTGAGTGAACATTTAACAAAACTAAAGCACCTCCATAAATTGCCACTGAGGTGAGGATTTACAATCAGTCCTTGGTGGAAGGGGAGAGGGGAGGGCGACCAATCTTTTCAGCTGCAAATCAATCCCAGAATGAAAGGTGATGTGTAGTACACTGATATGTATTTCAGCGAGTAGAAGAGACACACCAGAGTGCCACTTCCATTTGAATTTATTGGAGAGTGATTATTGGCGTTGTCGAGCAGCAGAGCGAGGAGAAAATGGCTTGCACTACAAAGTGCTGGGCAAAGGGCCTGCAATAAATCAAAAAGCAGGCTCAATGTAAAACAGACATTCATCAAATAAAAGCAATGCTGAGTGTGACTCGAGCGGTTGAGTGGATAAAACAGCTTTCTGCGAAGTAGCTTTAACTTTTTAGAGCCACATTCACTGAATACACACACCTTCAGCTTTGTGTGATTTTATTTGAAGGGCTTTTGTGTGGAAACCAGTATTGTTCTTTCATTCAGTCCCCTGTGATGATACCTAGATCTGAATTTCTGACATCGTCCTTAATTAAAAATGTTTCACTACCATGATTGTGAGTTTCTCCTACTGAAATATTCTTTTGTTTTTGTGCCTCTGAAGAACCTTTGTTTTGACGGTGGGATATAATTAAATAATCTTATTGTTATTATTTAGGACAACCTGCAATTGCCTCAAAGCTAGAGCTTTTATAAAAGCAATGAGAAATTCACAAAGCTTTGCATATAATTCCAGGTACTTAACAATGCATGCAGCTAACAGCCTTGCCCCAGTTCAAGGATAAAAAAGGTTTAATATTTGGTTTGTTTACATTTAAGATAGTTCTACAAATGAATGAGCGCATAATTAAGAATGATTCTGCGCTATGGCCGAACATTAAATTAGCAATATAAACTGAGAAATGTTCTCGACAGCAGATGTGCACATATATCAAAAGGAAAATTCACTCTGTCAAGCAGGAAAGATGAGCTAAGACGTCACCACTTGACGGTTTGCTTGTAGACAGATGGTGCCATAAAATGACTAGGCAGGCAGCACAGAAGGCACAGACTCCCCCCTCCTCTGCAACACCACGCACAGGACTTCAATCCCCCTTAGTACACCCCCCAAGAACCACCGCCACCACCACCACCACCACCCCCTGGGCGGAAAGCCTCGTCTCAGTCAGTAAAAGACAAACAGAGTGAAGGCATGCGAGCAGAAAGACTGGCAAATACAGAGCTTCATAGATCAATAGCTGGTCAAACAGAGGCAGTTGTTGGAGCTCAGCTCAATCCACCTATATAATGAGGCCTGCTGGATGTTTTGCCATTGGAAAGAGCAGAAATCACAGAGAAATTAAGCTTTGCTGGACTATGGTGGACCACATGGCATATATTGACACTGTAAACACCCTGTGTTCAGTTTCCGAGTTTTCACTCCCATTATTTCTCAGTGTTTGGGAACAGTTATTTTCTACAGGAAGCACTAAGGTGAGAATATTGAGCCAAACTTTGTATAGCAGCATAGGAGGGGGCTTTTGAGGGCTTCATACAATTCAGCAGGTGTTCCCACTGTTCTAAATCAATTACCTCTAGTCAGTCAGTGCTTAGGGTAGGGGGGTATTGTAAATCAGCTTGGTGTCAGGCCAGATTAGTGACTGTAACGGCTGGGAGTGGAGCTCTTTCCCTTCAGAGGCCTACAGGAGAAGCAAGCTGTGGCCTCAGAGCTCAATTGTTTGTCACGAAACTTTGGACTTAGGTTGGGCTGAATATTACGCTCTGTGAGAATATGCCTGATAATTTTCGTCCTTTTAATATGTCTAGCCATAGGAGGAAATGCAAATCGATGACCAGGACTGCTTTAAGGCATTATTGGATTTCCTGGACTCTTTCATCAAAGTGATCAAACACCTTGATTCATGAGATGTTTAATTCATCAGTTAAGCAGAAAAAAAAGCGGGGTTACTTTGTGGTTGTTTTGACTAGAACTTTATCCATATCTACACCCAAACTTACTAAACACAGTTCTGCAGGAATTAGGATTTGCCTTCTCGTACACAGAAAAAAACCTCAAATCAGCTGTAGACGGATTAGCCAGACTGCCACCATTGGCCATCAGTCAAAAACGTGCTCATTCACTCAGTCATTGGCACGGGGTGAATGGCGCTGCTGCTTGTTCAACTGCAGGCATTACAGCAACCCCATATTCCCAAGACAACCTTTTTATGCAAATGTAATTCTACAAGAAGTGCTTTGTCAGCAATAATGTTTCCGAAGAGCACATCACTTTCCCGCACAAAGGTGAGGGTGTGAGACTTGCCATGACAAAGAATGCGGATGATTTTTCATACCCCCGCTGGACGGTTTTCGATCTCGCTTGTCTTCAGAGAGGGCTGTTTGAAACTGTGTATTGACACAATGGTTATATTATTATTTCACCTGACAGCAGAGCATGTAACAGACGGGGGGGAAAAACAATCCGCTGTGGTCCAAGGTACAGGAGAACAAACCGGGTGTTGACTCAGGGAAGGGTTAGACTAACGCAAGGCAGCGCTGGGAAAAGCCCTTCCTATATAATCAAGCGTTTGTGGAGGGAAACAGAAACACTGTACCTGCTGCTGGTGTCTGGGGTAAGACATAAGGGCTTGTTTACGGAGGAGGACCCCTTGATGAGAAATATGTTTAGAGGAATTTGCAAAGGCAAGCTCACATCTGCTATTCTGAGACTGACTTCGAAACAAAAAACTCGCAGCCGAGACTCCTGGTCTACCTGAAACAGTTAAGACTGAGCAGATCTAACATGGGTTAGTTGCCATTGCAAATAGGGAAAAAAGACAATCCCCCAAGTCCTTATCCAACTTCTTTCCTGCCTACTATTCCAGACGGCCATCCTCTCAGCCCCTGTCTAACTAGTGAAAAGTGGCAGATTCTAATAAGCCGTTCTGTCAGTCTGCATTTCTCTCCATTCCCCTGTTTCCTTCCTTCCCTCTCTCTCTCTATCCCTTGCTCTTTTTCTCACTCCCTGGCCATGTCTCCTCCTCTGTCTCTTTCTCTCTGTCTGAGCCATGAGCCAGTCTGGTGGAGCAGATGGAACCATATATCCCCATTGCTCTCCGGAGGCTCGAGGATTGAAAATGTAAAAGAGATGAGTGCGGGGAAGGCAGCCACCAGTCGATAAAGGGCAGGAGAAGCAGAGACTTTCAGCTTAAAGCATGTTCGTTAAACACCCACCATACCGCCAAAACGTATAGACTAATAAACCGTTTAATTAACCAGCCCTTAATAATAACACTTATCTAATCCAACACTTTGTCTTGGATGATCCTAGAGTGTACAAGACTGTGTTTCAATTAGTAACATGAGCAAATACCCCAAAATGTTCAATTTCTGTTGATGGAAAATTAATGGACAACAAATTTGACCATCTGCTAATCGTTTAAAGGCCTCAATTAATCTTAAATGATGAAATGTTGCTCGTTCCAGCTATGAAAAAATGAAAAAGACTCACAACTCGCGCTAAAACACATATTTAAATGAGTGATTATTACTAAATGAAAAGAAAAATTAATCAGCTACAGTTTTGATTAAATAAAATCCATCTTTTCGTGCGGGTGAATGAGCTCTCCTGTGCTGAGTCTGATTTCAGCTGATGTTAAGGAATGTGTTTTTTTTAATTATCATCATAATAACCAGTTAGCAAGTCAGGTTTGCTATTTAATAAACCAGCTAAACGCTCAGAGTTAGCAGCCACGGGCCAAGATAAACAGGAATTCATCAAAATGTTCCTCCTGGGGATTTCTCTTTACATCGCTTCAACCAGAAATGTGGAGTCAGGCCCGCCCTCGTCACGTGCCTGACCTCGGGCCACCTTCAGGTAATGAGAGAGTATCCGAACACTGTATCTGTCGTCTGGGAGGAGATTCTGTCTCATCCTCCATCTCGATGTGGCAGCTTGACAGACAGGAAGAGTGAAGAACAACAGGCATACGAGGTCGTGAGCAGTACAATCGATTGCCAGCTGACTAGTGAGGTCCATTATACTGACAGGCCGGAGCTACAACACGACGACCTGCACTCCCGATACGTCCTCATTACTAACTATGAATCTCTCACTGGGACCAATCTCTCCCATGCTCGACCTCTTTGCGCTCCCTCTTGCTTTCTATCCACAGTACATCTCTCTGGGCTGAAGAGCATAGGACTGAATTTCCCTCTGTCAGTCTGACGGATGCGTTTTCAAAGAGTCAAAAGCTGCACCTAAGCCTCTGCATCAAGCTTCATGCACTCTGCAAGCATTGGATACAGAACAAAGAAAACAAGGGTATGCTACACGGGTCTTTTTCCCCCGCTGTAAGCGCCGACTAAATGTACCTAAAAGCTGCAATCTTGAGGAAATTCCGGCGGAAACTTCTGCCATATTAAACATTACTCACACCATCGCCCTGTCTTTCAGCTCTGCTATCTGCTCCCCTCATCCTTTTCCCCCCCTCCACCAACACCACCTCCACCCCTCCAGTTATTCTGAAATCCTCAGTCCTTGGAAGACTTATTTATACCCTCCCCCCTACTCCTCCCCTCTGCCTCATAGTACAGCAGCAGATAGGATTTACCTGCAGCTGAGACAGCCTCCAGACTATCAATTACCACCAGTGTAGAGTCACTGTTCTGCAGCTTGGCTAACAAGCCATACGCATACACACTCGCAACAATACACACACACACACACACACACACACACACACACAGATCTCTCGGACTCATTCAGTTAGAGAAATTCTGAGTTGGATATATGTCTTGCCGACTAATCAGAACACCGACCCTATGAAATATCAGGAGTGAATACATCCAATCAAGTGAACTGCTGTTTAGATCAAGTGTTTCATGAAGAAAGAGCAGATCGTTACAAAGAGGAGCGGTAATTGTTAAAGTGAATTCACCAGAAATACACGACTGGGAAATGAAGTAGCTTGGAAACTACGTAAGGAACTTCAATGTTCTTACAGCGGCAATCCTACAAAGTAAGAACGCTGAGGAAAGTGTTGATTAGAAACAGATTTTTAGGGTATGTAAGTAACTTAAACTCTATATTTAATAGGGCTGTAACGATAAGTCGATGCTGTCGAGAAAAATTGATAATGAAAAAGGTCGACAATGAAATCCATCGTTAACTATTGTCACCAGACGTGTTTCCTCCACTGGAGTGAGGCATCTTACCTCATTACAATCTCTGCCTAGAGTCACACATATGCATCTCTGCCGAGCAGTAGGGTATATAAACATGGCGGTGCCGGTGTCCCATACAACACCTATAGGTTCCCCCCTAAGAACCTCCAAAGTTTTAGCCTAGATAAGGCGAATCTATATATATATCATAAAAATTCATAATTATCAGATTAGTGAACTAATAGTTTCAATAGTCAGTGGCTAGTCAGCTACAGGGGTGGGCAAAAATATCGATATGGCAATATATCGCGATACTTTGACTTCCGATTCAATATCGATATTCAAAATATTAATATCGATTTTTTGTTCAAATAATAAATCAGGTTTCAGACGGGTTAACAAATCCAGTACGACTTCCGCACCTCCGCTCCGCTAGGTGTCGCTGTACCGCTACCTCACTTCTTCTTCTCCTTTTTCCCCCGCCGGTTGCAGTGAGGAAGAGGAGCCGGGAAAAAAACAATCAAGCATGGCTGGTAACGTTAAACTAGAAACGCCCTCGAACTTTAAGGCAGATGTTTGGAGATACTTTGGATTCCAAAGGAAAGGAGAAACACACAATGAGCTGGACAAAGAGTACGCGCTTTGCAAACTCTGTGTCGCTCCCATTAGATATTCGGGCAACACAACAAACTTGAGAACTCATTTAGCAAGACACCACCCCGACATATTAGCTCAGCCGGAGCCACCGAAACCTTCCGGTCCAAAGCAAACTACACTGGACATCGCCAAAGTCCTCCCATCTACTTCAACCCGAGCCCGGGGGATCACAGAGGCGATGGTGCATTTTCTTTGTAAAGATTTGCGCCCATACAACGTTGTGGAAAACGTCGGCTTTCGGTGGATGCTTCATACTTTGGAGCCGCGCTATGTGATGCTGCAGCGTAAGTACATGGCTAACGTAGCTGTGCCAAAAATGTATGACGAGGTGAAGGAGACAATAAAAACAGTTCTTAGCTCTGCTCCGAGAGTCGCACTGTCCTGTGACGGTTGGACATCACGAGCCACCGAGTCCTACATTACAATAACGGCGCACCACATTAATGCCGAATGGGAGCTGGTAACACATGTGTTGCAGACGAGAGCCATGTACGAGAGCCACACTGACAGATTCAATTCAGTTTCAGTATGTGGACACTGACCCACACTGCAGTTTGTGTCATAATTGTGCTCAGGGAGACTAAGAATAATGCACACTGCACTTTTCAATGTGTTTCAGACAGTGTGTTTTTCACGCAAATATGTTGTAACTTGCACTTACAATAAAATGGCATCGATAATTTGAATTACATTGTTTTGACTGTTTGTCCCATGAATTATCACTATCATCTGATGTACATGCAACAGGGATTTTAAGATGCATAATGCCTTTTCCATTTTTCAGTGAACTATGTAGAATATCGCAATATGTCGCAATATATCGTAAACATTTGGATATCGCAATATCATATCGTATCGTGACTCAAGTATCGTGATGCGTATCGTATCGTGAGGTCCTTGGCAATACCCACCCCTAGTCAGCTATTAAAATAGTCGTTAGTTGCAGCACTAATGTTTAATTAGAAATAGTGCAAAATCAACAGATATTATGTTGGAATTGAAAAGTTTCATAGGTTTAAGAAAAATATGAACTCACTTTGATTAGATGCATGTTTCAAAACAAGAGGGAAGTTGGAAGAAGTTGTGAAAGAAGAAAATTTAACTCCTGCAGAAGCATTTCCCAACTACTGACATGACTTCAAGGGCATCCAGAGAGGTCGAGTCCCTCAGAAGGAAAGATGAGAAGAGGTTCACCACTCTGTGAGAGACTGCATGAGCAAACAGCTCATCAGTTTTTAACAATGACTCGGGGATTTCATCATCTACAGAAAGATTCAAAGATAATCTGGACAAGGAGAAGCCAAAACATAACACTGGCCATGAGCTTTGGGCCTTATGTTGACACTACATCGAAAACAGGCATGGCTCTGTAGTGGAAGTCACTGCATGGACTCTAAATCACTTTCAAAAACTGCTGTTTGTGAATAAAGTTTGTTGGTGACTCCACAGATGCAGGTTAAAACTATATAAGGTACAGAAGATCATGATCTGAAGAGAAGAGGGACTGTTTAAGTTTGTTATCAGTTCTGTAAACTTCACTTATTTGAGCAGGTTGCTGCCATCAAACTGTAAAAACACGTTAAATTGTCTCTGCACCACTTTAAATTGAATATAGAGTTAAACTGATTTGCAAACAATCAAACTCTGTTTTGATAAACAGTCATACAGCTTTCGTGTGTGTTTTCTAAGGCTGCGTGGATAAAAGTGCCATGTTTGTATTTCAAAATGGTGACAAAGTCAAAAAAAGAAAAAAAAACACAAACATTAAAAACCTCAAGCCCTCAGTGCAATCCTTTCTATTATCGTGACTGGTGTGCGATGTGCTGAAATCAGAGATCTCCCCAAATTCTTCCTGACGTGTCATCTCTTGCTCTCTGACAACGATTAGACTGAACACCAGGCCATTACACATACAGAAAGACACGCAGGGACAGGACCTGTCACTCACCCCGCCAGATCCACCCTGACGCCTAAAGTGCCTCTGTCAGGTCAACAAATGAAAAGCCATCACAGCCAATGTTGCAGTCATCCAGCTGAAGTCAATCCAGAGACTGCTTAAACGTTTCCTTGCCAGGTCCTGTTCAACTTTGTTGAGCATATTCGGGCTCAAGGCGTCAGCTTTGATTCAGGGCTTTAGTGTTTTGTTGATGTACCATCACTGGAGGTAAATAAACAGCCAAGGAACAACATCATGAAGAGGACAGAAGCTAACACTCACAAATGCCACTCTAAGGAGGACTGCAGCCTGCGATCTAGCAACGCCTGGTCGCATAGTCGGTCCAGTCGGTGTAAGCCTGTGAAGAAAGATCTGAGGAAGTGAATTCCTTTCAAGTGAACCATCGTGTCTAGCCGTGGCAGGAGCGCACTGATCATTAGGATAACATATTCGGGTCAAAAAGCTAATGAATGTGCATTAACAATGGACTGTATGGAAACTCTCTTTAAAGCTTAACTCTTTGAGACAGCCCCTGCTTCCTTCAAACCAGAAGCAAAGCAGGATTTTTCATGCGCTGGCCAACATGTGAAAAATTTACTATGCATAATTTAAGCCCCTTCATACATAAAAATAGCCCCTCCAGCGAGCATAAAGTCATTTTCCCAGTTTAAATGTTCATTTTATGTTGTCTTCCCATGCATGAGATGAAAAGAGGTTTCTTATGAACCATAAAGAAGGACATGGCGATCCCCCCCCACCTCCCTTCCTTCAACCAGTCGTCTTGTCTGACTGTCAGCACAGGCAGCCCAAGTCTCCCATGTTTACTAATGTAGAAGCAACCCCTTTATCAGGGAAGAGATTTGTAGGGAAGAGGCAGGGGATTAGCCATCAAATTACCAGGCAGACAGCATCCGTGCTCCAGGGTTGTGAAGAGGTAATCTCTGAGGCTGAAGGGGGAGATCCAGATAAAGGTTTTGGGATTGGTGCTGTGGAAGTACAAACTCCAAACGGGATGTAAGTTAAATATGAAAGTATGCTTCAGGAGGTTTTTTTTTTTCAAAGAAAGTTCTTCTTCTGGCTTTTTGTGCTGTTGTTGTTGTGGTAACTACTTTTATATGACCAATAAGGTTCACCCTGTGTTGTCGGGCTATGTGGTATTATTACATAGCCCTAACACCCACACAGAGTGAGACTTTTGATAGGAGAAATCCTTCAAACAGGAATGCTGTAGCCAGGCAGGGCAAGTGGAATTAGATTTCAGCAGGCCTCGCTGGCGGTTCTTGCATTGTCACCCCGCTGCCCTCCCTTAAACAAGCAGTGTTCTCCTCAGAGAGTACCCCCCGGACACAGGAATGTTTCATCAACGCCTCAGCCCCCAGCATCCTTACAGGGGCTGCAGTGGGCCACAGGCGCTGCACAGGAAGGCTATAAATAAGTCAGACATTATAATGAAACCAAATGAATCTCCA